CAAGTCATCTCTTCCTTCTCTTTCTCTTGATCTTAAGCCTTTGGATTGAATGACTTGTGAAGCGGAGTAGTTTTATTCAGTAGAAGCCCATAATTAGGTTCCTCACCTTTTGGCACCTAGTCTATATCTCCTTAAACATATTGATTTTCTTTTTTGGGCAAGCTTTGGCTTTCTACCGGTATCCACTCTATTATTTAAACATACTATTAGTGAATACTTATTTGAATTTAAAGTAATACAGAATTAGAAGTGATGGTGTTAGCAATGCTTAATGCAGGCCAACTGCGGACAACCTTGTTCCTATCCGTTTAGATATGGAGCTTGATGGACAACGATTAAAAGATGCTTTCACATGGAATATCAACGGTAACATGTAGTTTCACAGAAGGATACGTTGTTTACTCCATTCATATTTGTAGATTTATCTGTTTCGAATAGTGATTTGAAATTTGAAGTATAAAATGCTCTTAACATGTAAATTTGGGTATATTGGATGATTTTTTTATGTATGATATATTGATATATACTTGTACCTGATATATACTTATACCTGCGACTTAACTTTTCGTTGTACTAAACTCTTCAATAAGATTGTCAGTTATTAGCCCATATTGGCTCCTTGGTAGTATAAAGAAAATATTGAGCATGTCATCATCACTTTATTCTGGTGTAGACTGCGTGGATCATATTTGTAATTCAAATATTATATATGGTCACTGTGATTGTTCTTCTTTCTTAAACCATGTCTCAGTAATGTAGCCTTAAAGGACTTTCTGGATGTCCTAAACTATATAGGAGTATGAACTGAAAGGGACATATGCAAATTCTAAACATTGTAGGAATACCAACTTAAAACAACTTATAATCAGTTAGTTGACCATCTAAAAATTAATTCTACATCAACTCTTTATACTTATCTTCCTACCTAAACATTGATCACGTGGCCATCTCTTACTTTGATTAAAAAAAAAAACCCTTTATCCAATTATATTTGAACTCTGAACATATTTATTTCCATGATTTGTTACTTATTTGATTCTTTACAGTCTTGTGTAGAGTTTGAGGGACCAATGATATAGATTTGTGTAGGGCATGGAAAATTTCCAACATTCAGATTTAGAACATATGACGAATATATGTAAATAGATAAATGCATTTATATTATCAAATAGCTGGCTACGTCTCGTCATATGCCAAATATATGTGCTAGACACATTTACCACTCTAGGATATAGTGATATGTCGTCACCAAATTGTAGGCATTATATTTTTATTGGTTGAGGGATTGAGTGGTACTTATGTCGTATCCTTTAGTTATTCAGGATTGGATTTTTGCTATTTCCCTAAGTTATTTCCCAATTTTAGATTGTGTCATGAGTACGTATTTTTCTGAAAGAAGTTCTAATGAGCCAGTAACTACTGATACTTATATGCATTATTGTCTGAAGATCCTGATTCAGAAGTTATCAACTTTTCAAGGAGGACAGTGAAGGATCTGAAGCTACCTCCGGCTTTTATGACTCAAATTACGCAATCAATTCAAGTAAGTAGTTAGAAGCCTACAGTTCTATTTCTAGCATAAGAACTTCATTGCTGTATTGGAATGATCTTAATTTGCATTAATAATGTAACTTGGTAATGTTATCTATAGTCTTATATTGCACTCTGAAATGATGTTTGTCGGTTTTTATTGTTTTACTCAATAGCTTCTTAGTTGCACATTGCAATTATTTGTATTAGTTTCTGTCTTGTGATATTGTAGGGTGAAAATTTGATTTTCCGAAAACAGGGAGTGTTTGTTTGTATTAATAAGAAGGCTTATTACAAACTAACGAATCAAATGTTTACAACAGAAGCAGAGGGAAAGTCCTCTTTGTTTTGTGTGGGGACTTTAGGTGGCTACAGGATGCTTCGCTCGATGCTCGTGTCGAGTCTGCTTCCCTTGGACCGTTCGAATGAGGTTGCTGGGGAGCTTCAGTACGCAGTAGAAGCTCGGGGCAATAGAGTTCGATTCTGCTTAGTTCGTCGGCGATCGGAGCTCGGAACTAGGCGGTGGTGCTGTAATGCAAGGATCTGCTAACAGCTTGGTCTCAACTCTTTTTCTCCAAGTTTTGCGACCTCTTCTCCAGTGTGCTGGAAGGGGCTTTTAAATGGAAGAATGACAGCTTGACTCCTCCTTGAATTGTGGGATGTGACCACATCTTCTTCAGAGACGTCTAGCTGCTCCTCGATATCATGAATGGTCATTCCAGGGATTGTGCTTTATGTCCTGTCACCTACGATGGGAAGGCCCATTCTTGTATATGAGGCGACGGCCGTCTGCTATCCGAGTGGACCTGACCAGCATTAATGAACCGCATTTATGAGTTCGCAGAGTGACGAGGCGTCTGTCCGATCACTTGTGACCGTCCGGCGTGCTTCGGGTACGGTGCTTTCTCCTTTCCGGTCAGGAGAGGCGGTGAAGTAGGTGCACAGTACTCAAGTGGGTCTAGCCAGCTTGCCGAGTGCCGGCGGATCCGGCTCTTGACTCAGACAGCGGAGATGAGTCGCATTTATGAATGCTCAATGATGAACTCCAAGCCTTCGGCTGTGCGTACTCGGAGCGGCGTTTTGACGGCCTGGTTGTGCTTCCCTTCGGGTTGAGAGAGATGGGAAGGTCATCAGCACGTGGTAGCGATGTCCAGTTGTACTGACGGCTTGGGGTTTGCTGCGGATTCGAACTCTGACTCCGTGTGGTAGGAGTTCGGGAAATGCGAACTTCCGCATCGATCGATCTTAACTCATGCTGGCACCGATCGTTCGGCAACCTGGAATCGAGCATATCTGACGTCCGCGACTTAGGCCGCGCCACGAGAACTGACGTCGAGCTTCCTCGTAGGCGGATTTGTAAGCTATAGAGGTATTTACCGTCTACAAGACCCCTTACAAAGTTTCAGACTAACCGGCTGGCGTGTGGTCGAATACTTTGAATAAAGAAATTTTCGGCGAAGTTAAGCGCATTTGATTCCGTTAGGATTTTAGGCAATCTAGCTATCTAAGGGTTGATGTGGCTTCCGATACCTGTTTGAAGGGCTAAGCATCACTATCCCTCAGTATAGATTGTTGAACAGTTTCTTAGGCTTAATGCTAAATTTCTGGCGTCTAACCGCTCGCGCGTCTGAGGCGTGGGGTTATCGTTAAGCGAGTCATTATAGTGGCTTGTTTTATTACCTTTAGTGCGAGTGATCGTTAGGCGAAATTATCTTTGGGGAGGCCAAGTTCGTCAACTCGCGGGGTACCTCATGTTATGGTTGAAGAGGTGCGTAATCCCCACTCACTCCTTTGAGGCTCTTCCTGTGGAGGTCGTGTACCCGGCGGTTTGCCTAGCTCACGGGAAGTCTTATTCCCTGGTATCGGCGACGATAGCGTACATTCACCGGGGGCTCCGCACTCTGACGGCCCAATTCTGCCGTGTGTCGGTCCTTGATGAGGGGGAAGGAGTAGTTATCAAAACTCCCAATCCTAGGGTGGGGCTACCGTACACCTACTTGATGGCGTGGTTCGTATACCACTGCGAATGCTTGATGAGCGCCCCGGCGGTACCTCAGGGCGATAGGTTTGTCCCCTTCGTCCAGCGCTTGGAGAGGTGCTCTTGGAAATGCAAGGACATCCCTGATGCAAGGAAGACGCTCTCCCACTTCGGGCATTATAATTTTCGCCGTTTCTTCCCTTATTTCAGCGGGGGCGGATATGGAGAATCTCTCAGGGATGCTCCGACGGCGGATCACTACACGGTCCTTACTCGTGGTGCCTTTCGCTGGTTGGTGAATATCCGGCCGGGGTATCACATTCTGAGAACGGGCCCTACATGCTATCTCGAGCCATACATCCCCTGCAGGTTCGCCCGCCAGTTTGGGTATGATCAATTGTATGTGGGCAACGCCAACCCCCGCCTAAACTTCGAAGGAGGACTGGTTGACGGAGCTCGGGGTTGGTTCTGGACCCATGCTGGAGGTACTCAGGCTCGCTTTGAGTTGCCCGCGAAGGACCGCGATCTACACCACACGCTCTTATACTGCCGCTGGTATCGGGGCGCTAGTGCTAATCCTGTCAATTTCTGGTTTCAGAACTCATGTCTGGTGGAACGCGATCGTCCTGTCAGGGGTTCTCTCCGTTCTTCGAGGCGAAGGGGTCACCAAACTGCTAGGGAGTTGTTCTCGGAGGATCCAATTGAGGATACCGAGGGTTTTGACGCTGGCTTAGACGAATCCGAGGTTCCCGAGGTTCGAGTTCCTTCTCCCTGTCCTTCGCTGGATGCCCCTGGCGAACCAAGGGAATCCGGGCGCCCAAGACCGGTCCAGACTTCTCTCGAAGCGTCAGCGGGAGGCAGTGGCTGAGAGTTCCCGAGCGGGAGCGGCTAAGAAGGTCCGTCGTGATGTGATGGCGGAAACCGTCCGAGCGGCGGAAGGTCAGGATGATGTTCCCCAGGTGGGTATCCCCGGAGCGGCGACGTCTGGAGTCGTATTGCCCGTCTCTTCTGCTGCATCGGGGGCGGCTCCGGCGACTATGAGAGACGCTCCTCCGCGATCTGGCGAGAGGTTACCGACGGGAGCTCCAGCGGCTTCTGTGTCCGCATCAGGAGGTAATTTTTCTTTTGCAATAGCGTCTTTGATCGCAACGATGATCTCATACCCTTTGACATTGGTATTGGACCTATGCAGGCGCGATTGAGAAGGTGATCTCCATTCCTTCCGACGAAGAAGGGGAGGCTGGAGACGAGGAGGGGTCCACCGGCTCAGGTAAGCGTGTGTTTTAGCATTACTTTTCCTTCAGTTAGTAGGGTCCCTTTCGAAGGGTCTCTGTTAACCTCTCTCCGTGTATTTGTAGCTGATCCTACCCGTGAAGTCGCAGGTGAGGAGGGTCCTCACTCTTGTGCGAATCGCTCATCTGAGGAGGCGGGCGAGTCTGAGGAGGATGACAATGTCTCGGTTCACGATGCATTGTCCAGCGAGGAAGAGGATTTGGCTCTTGAGGACGCGCCTGGCCAAATAGGGGGATCTCCTGCTCCTGCGGAAGCGTCGGCTGGGGGTCGTTCATTGGGCGCGAGAATCTCCGCTTCAACGGGAGGCCCCCATTCTGCAGGTGACCATTTCTCCGTCGGCGGCGGCCGTTGACGTTGTGACCACTGCACCGAGGGCGTCATTGGTCGCACCAGCTCCGGTGGTGCCCGTTACCACCCCTACGGTTATGGCTATAGGTACCTTGACCGTGATTTCATCCACGGCGGAGGAGGCCGTCCTCTCTCCCTTGGAACGCTGGCGAAAAACGCAGGTGGAGCGAGCTCTGGCGAATTTCGAAGACACTTTGGCCCACTGCACCCGGCTGGTCTTGGAGGAGAATTGTCCCTTCGAAGAATTCAAGGAAGTTCTTGAACACGATGCGTCCTTCTTGCGTAAGAGGCTCGGCGCTACCGCGGCGAGGCCCTATTTTCAGCGTCTGAACGAAGTGGAGGGTGCTGTCCGGCAGCTGCTCGCTCTTCGTGCGGAGAGTTCCACTCTTGTTGATCTCGCCTCCCGCGAAGTTCGAGTGGCTATGGCAGATCGTGATCGCCGCCTGAACGAGAACATGACGCTAGAGTTGAAGTTGTCAGCAGAGTCGGAGCAGGTCAAAGCCGAGGATGCACGGGTGGCCCGCGAGGAAGAAACGGTCGATAGCCAGTTCTCCCGACTCTCCTTCGAAGTAGAGAGGCTGAAACAGGTTGTAACCGAAGCACAGGCTGCCCTGGCCGTTCAAGAGAAGGCTCGTGACCACGTGGCAAAAGAGTTGGAGGGCGTCAAGTCTCGCCGGCGATTGACCACTGGCTCTGTTGCGGAGAAGGATCGAGCTCTCAAGGATGTCAGAGAGGCTATTCAAGATTTGATCTTATGCACAGAGGAAGATATTCGTCGAGAGGTCCTAAGGAGGCTTGAGCTCCGCCATGCTGAAGAAATTCGTGAGGCGGAACTGAGATTGAAATCCCTGTAATTCGCCTTTAATTTTCCGCTTGTAATGGGACTTCTTTTTCATGAATGAAATTATCCCTTTTGTTTTTGGCCTATTGTCATTTGTGGGTGTGCTCCATTTTTGCAATCATGCATTAGTCAGAATTCGACCGTAAGAGAACCTCAACTGTAGAGGAATTCTTGCCGGTGAGTTTCTGCTGCAAGTTTACTTCATCTGCAGGCGAATTTTGTTCGCAGGCGGATTTGCAGGAGTTAACGGAGAACCTGGCTCTGATCGGGTTCCGCTTTCAGTGGGCCACGTGTTAGTCCACGTGTACGCCGGTTAAGGAGACGTGGGCTAGCCGTTTCGCATTAAATGCGAGGTAGTGGGCCTCTTCGTCCCTCGCGCCCGATTCGGGCCGTTGTTGCAGATCGTGGTCGTGAACCGTCAGATCTTGTTCGTCCTTACCCTTCAACTGCTTTAGCCCCGAACGGTCTAATCGAATATTGAATAACCGTCTAGGGCTCGTAGGGTATTTAACGCCCCTACTCTTTATTAAGAGGATCTACAGCCTCTTCATCA